TTAAGGACACTAGTCCTACCTGATTAGGGCCTACCCTTATGACCTCTTTTAACCTTGATGATCCCCTTAAAGGTCCCATCTCCAAATACAGCCACAATGATTTGGGGAGACATAAGACCATAGTATGTATATAAAATGCTTGCATAATGTATAGCAGATGCTCCCTGAGGTGCCAACTGGGTTGATTTCTGGGGAGGCCTCTCTCCTTGGTTTGCAGGCGGCACCTTCTGCGCTGACGTGGCCTTTCCTCTGGGCACACAGTGTGGGGGTGAGGGGGAGGGGAGGGATCATGAGGTCCTTTTCTCCTTTAAGGACACTAGTCCTATTTGATTAGGCCCTACCCTTATGACTTCCTTTAACCTTGATGACCCCCTTAAAGGTCTCATCTCCAAATACAGCCACAATGGGGGTTATCGGTTCAACATATGATTTGGGGAGACATAAGCCCATAGTATGTACATAAAATGCTTGCATAATGTATAGCAGATGCTCCCTAAATGCTCATTTCTCCCCCCCTTATTTCTTCTTCCCCTCACCCTCCCTCCCTCCCTTCTCTTCCTCCCAGCCAGTGGTACATCCACACAGCCCCAGCTTCCGTGTGCTCTGGAAACACCTGACCTCTCACCCCTGGGGAGGCAGTCAGGCGCTCATGACTGGGCTTGAGATCCCGGACACGCAGTGTTTGAAATAAGAGCTCTTTCACTCGGGCCCACAGGCAGGTGGGCCCCAGAACAAGGCTCAATTTAAAAAAAAAATAATAGTGCCTACCTTGAAAATACGATTTCACTTCCAAATGCCTCTTTGCAGCTTCTCTTGAAATAATTAGCGGAGCCGGCGCCCTGGGCCTGCATCGTTGGGAGGCCTTTGCTGGCTGGAGCTGCACGGCTGCCAAGCCACCCTGGGGAGACAGAGAGAGTGGTTTGGTTCCTTCCTCCCCTGCCTGGTCTGGTTCAGTAATTATTACCTGCCCATCCCCTGTAGGTATAAAGATCTGCAACCGCTGGTTTAAATAACGGTGACTGAACTGCAGGAGAGCCTGATTTGGGGCTCCGACTTTCCCCAAATGGACAATGGGGTCAGTAGACTTTTGTTTTCTATTCCTTTTTCGTGGGCTTTACAGCTCCTTGAATGTGGGTGGGGTTTGGGGTGCAAGGGGGCTGGGGGAATTGGGGACCAGCATTGTGGTAGGCTGGTTGCATCGATGGTCCCAGTTAATACCCTACCTGTACCCATACCCTTTGTCCTGTAACTTCTGGCCCCTCCTACTCTGGGTTTGACCATGTGACTTTCTTTGGCCAATGGGATATTAGCAACAATGCAAGCAGAGGCTGGAAAAAGCGCTTGCCTATTCCCACTTGTTCTCTTGGACTTCAGCAGTCAGCATGAGAATGTGCCTGGGTTAGCCAGAAAACACGCCCAGGCCCGAACATGAAAGACCCAGGCATGTGGGAGAGAGCCCAGTTGTCCCGACTAAGGCCATCAGGCCAACATCCAGCTGACCGCCAGACGTGCGGGTGAGCTCAGCTGAGGCCAGAAGACCGGCCGGCCACCCTGTGGATTTGCGAGCAGTAATAAAAATAGGAGCTGGTTTAAGTCGTTGAGTTCTGGGGATCATTTGTTACGCGGCATTAGCAGTTGTAACTGACGCATTTACATTCTATGCAGGCTCCCTTCCACCTTCCTTCCCAGTCTTCCTCCCTCCCTCCCTTTTCAACTGGTATTTATTGAGCATCTACTGTGTGCCATGGGTACATTCTGAGCAAAACTAGGCATGGTCTTTGTCCTTAGGCTGTTTACAATATTGCTCGATTTCTATCACCCACGTTGAAAGATTGAACTTCAGCAAGAAGATGACAGCTCATGGTTAGAACGCATTCTGCTCCAAGGTGACCTGGGAAGGGTTTCTCCCCCAAAGAGGGGTTAGTTATAACTTCTCTCTCTCCCATTCTAATTGTTCCAGCAGCCACTGCATAGAAACAGTTCTTCCCAGGAAAAGAGAAATCTTTTTGAAAGGATGTGGACAGCGGGGATGTTCTTAAGTAATTCATATAAAGAGTGAGCGATTCCCTGTATTGTTTTTATAAGGTAGGGCGAGTTTTATGGACTGCACCGTAGAGGGGTTAGTTATAACTTCTCTCTTTCCCATTTTAATGGTTTCAGCAGCCACTGCAGAGAAACAGTTCTTCCCAGGAAAAGAGAAATCTTTTTGAAAGGATGTGGACAGCGGGGATGTTCTTAAGTAATTCATATAAAGAGTGAGCGATTCCCTGTATTGTTTTTATAAGGTAGGGCGAGTTTTATGGACTGCACCGTTTGATGTATTGTGATGCATTATGTTTTGGTCCGAGGTCTATGCAGAAAAGCCTGGCGTTTCTCTGGGTTCTGGGAAATGTACCATAAATAAAGGTGGTGGTTTACTTCTGGGCTGGCCATTTCCTCTAATAATGTGAAGACGTGTCAACACCCATTTCTCAAGGGCAAAATATGAGGTTCTCCCCACAGAGGAAGAGTGACTAGAGCTTGTGGGTTCTCTAGACTCTCAAAGGAGCGGGGAGGCCTGGGCCGGAGCCTGTGGCCTGGACAGGCTGTGGTCCTCAGGCTTCCAACGGACCCATCTGAGTTCAGGTGAATTAGGGGGGTTGGCACCATCTGATCCCGGGCTCTTCCCACCTCCCTCTTCCCTTTGGGTGTCGTTCCCAAAGACACGCCAGCTCTGCAAATCCCCGTGAATGTGGGGAGGCTGGTCATGGTCCCATTCCTCGCCCCGGTTTCCCCATCTGTAAAGTCACCCAACGATGACTTACAACCTCTTCAGTTGCGTCAGTACCAGCAAGACCAGTGCCATTCCTTCTCTGGGTTTATCTTCTGTTAGGTACAGAGACAGGAGACGGTGAGGAACGGGTCCCTACGGGTGACAGTTCAGACACGGTGTTTGGGAGAGGAAGGGCATTTGGGTTTGGTGTGTGTGTGAGGGATGCTGTTCGATGCTCCTCCGATGATGTGATATGGCTGGTGCCTTCAGCAGAAGGAGGTCTGAACCGGGCATGAGTCCTGGTTTGGCCATGCACTGTGTGGCCTTGGGAAAGTCCAGTCCATGCTCTTGGCCTCAGTTTATTCCTCTGCGTAGTGTTTTAGACGCTGATATTCTGGAATTGGTTGAAGCCAATAATGTTCTGGCCTGTGTGTCGGAGTGTCAGAGGGGGTTTCCCTCCAATTCCTGTCTTACTGTGGGGATAGAATCCAGAGGTGAGTCAGGCTTATTTTGATGGAAAGCCTTAAAAAACTGAGTTCAAATGGGCTGGGCCAAGGTAGTTTTCTGGCTGAAAAATCCAGGCACTGCCTTCAGGCATGGCTGGACCCAGGTGTCCTTAACCAGTTTAGAAACCCTGATTGAAAGGGAGAACCTTTTCCCCAGATGTTCTAGCAAAAGTCCCAGGGCTGAATGTCATTGGCTTAACTTGAGTCACATGCTCACCACTGAGCTACTCTGATTGGCCAGACCTGGGTCGCGTGCTCACCTTGGAGCTGGGGGCAAGGCCAGCCCCATCTAAAACCACCAACTGAGAGAAGCAGAGGTCCCTCAAAGGACAATGAGGCCCTGAAGGCAGAAGGATGGGGAGTGGGTACTGAGCAATGGGCCCACCGTCAGGACCGGGCCGGGATCTTATAGATCAGCGGTTCTCAACCTGTGGGTCGCGACCCCTTTGGCGGGCGAATGACCCTTTCACAGGGGGCGCCTAAGACCATCCTGCATATCAGATATTTACATGATGATTCATCACAGTAGCAGCATTGCAGTGATGAAGTAGCCACGAAAATAATCTTATGGTTGGGTCACAACATGAGGAACTGTATTTAAAGGGCCAGAAGGTTGAGAACCGCTGTTGTAGATGGAACCTTCGCCTTTTTCATTCCTGGAGTCCTGAATGGCAGAGCTGGATGAAGGCTCAGGGACTATGCGTCTCAACACCTCCCAGGCCCGCATGTCACACATGAGGAACCTGAGTATGGAACACACCATCCTCCACAGCCTCAGAGGGCGGGCGGCCCCAGGCCAGCTGATCTCCGTCTCTCCGGGTGGCTCACACCCACTGCCCCTGGGAGGATCCTCACCCCACACCCACCCTCCAAGCCTGCAGCACCCTGGCACGGATCACCCACCACCCACCACTCACCTGTGGCCCCGCGCTCAGCAGCCTTGGCACTGCGCAGAGCTGGGTAGGAATGCAGAATTCCAGGCCCACGTCGGACTTGCTGGATTGGGATCTGCATGGGAGCAAGGTCCCCGGGGACCGTGTGCTGCAGGCCGGGGTTTGGGAAGCGCAGGTCTACACCCCGGACCGCGGACTTCCAGGGTCTGTGAGCCGCTCCACTCTCGCATCTGGATCCCAGGCAACCCCGACAGGGGCTCTCTCGTCCTAAGACCTCGCAGAAGAGGAGGACATGGAAGATGGTGGCATGCTCTTGAATGCTCTCGAAGGTCTTCTTCGCACCTGACCTACCTCCTTCCTGAGTTGCCATCGTCCTGGCCTTCCCACCATCGCCGCCGATGGTGTGAGAGGGGCTCGGGGGCCTGAGATCTGGGGCCGGCCCTGGGGCTTTGGTGAGCGGCCTGCGTTGGAAAGGACACATTCTGGGCTTCGCTTTTCCATCCCATTAAATGAAGTGAGCAGCCCTGGCCGGGTGGCTCAGCTGGTTGGGACGTCGTCCCGTACATCGAAAGATTGGGGGTTCAAGCCCCGGTCGGGCTCGATCAGGAGGCAACTGATGGATGTCGCACAACCTCTTATATCAATCTCTCTCTCTCTCTCTCTCCCCTCCTTCTCTCTCTAGAAATCAATAAAAAATATATCCTTGGATGAGGATTATTTAAAAAAAAAACCAAAGTGAGCAATCCTTGCTTTGGTCTTCTCCTCCAGCGGTTCTCAACCTGTGGGTCGCGAACAATGAAAATACATCCTGCCTATCAGATATTTACATGACGATTCATCACAGTAGCAACATGACAGTGATGAAGTAGCAACGAAAATAATGTTATGGTTGGGGGGTCACCACCACATGAGGAGCTGTATTAAAGGGTCGCGGCATTAGGAAGGTTGAGAAACACTGCCCTAGACCCAATGCCCAGGTTGAGTGAGGTCAAGGACATGGATGTGGGTGACAAGCCTGACGCAACATACAGCTCAGGGCCACATTCCTTCCCCCCAGGAGTGTGTGAGGTCGCTTCTGCGATCCTTCTCTCTCCTCTCTTCTCTGGACTGGGCTCATCAGCGACTGGCTGGGCGCCTGGGGCCCCCAAGGGCCGGGCCATTAGGAAGAGCCGAGGAGCATGAGTTACATCGCTCAAGCCACCTCTAGGGGGCGCCGGACGCAGCTTCTAACCAGGGGCCCAGGAACCATTCCTGGGAAGCGGGAAGCCCTGCGGTGTTTTATCCAATGTTTATGGCTGTTGGTTTAGGGGGTGAGTTTACAAGGCCCCGCAGGCTGCGCGCTGGGAAATTAAATTCCGTGCATTGTGACTCCGTCCTAATCACGCCGCCAGCCACGGGATTTATGGGCTGTAAAGTGTGGGGCGCAGTGCGGGCCGGGCCTCGCTTCTGGCTTCCAGCCCGTGTCCTTGGCCGGAGGCCTCCTCCCAGAGCCGGGGCTCATCTGCCCGTTTGCTCAGGAAACACAGGGCCTGGAGCCGCCTGAAGCCGGAGGAGGCACGGGGGGATGATTTCCTGGACTGTCCGGAGGATTCAGGGCCCACGGACACCTGCATTCCGGAACAGAAAGAGAGCGAATTTCTGGTGTCCCAAGCAGGGGGAGTGGCAGGGCCTAACGGGCTCTTGAAAGCGGTCTGAAGACTAACCGTGGAGGGTGGAGCCTAGGGGATGGTACTGGGCTGTGTGTCCAGCCCGGACACAGCAAGGGACACAAAGAAATCAGACCTCGAGGACCACTCCAGAGACACTGTGGCCTCTCTGGGGAGACAAGGCTCAGTTAGAGGTCATAGCTGAGGCCAGAACAGTGGGCCGAGATTCTGAGATGACCAAGATCCTCATAAGCCAAGGACATCAAGTCCAGGAGAGCTTCCCAGAGGAGGTGGCCCTGAAGGAAGGGCAGCGGTGAGCTTGCAGAGAAACGGGGAAGACAATGACATTAGGCGCCCCAAACATAAAAACTCTTCATACCATCGAGTGCCTACTAAACGTACCTTCATTCTCCCATTCAACCCGCACAGAACCTTATTCCTATCCCCATTGTACAGGTCGGGAGACTGAGGCCCAGCTAAGTCACACACAGATGTTAATTGATGGAACTGGGATTGGCGCCCACCCGGTAGCCCTGGCCTCTGGCTGTGGCTTTCAACCCCTGTCCTGCTCCCCTGCACCAGAGAGGAATTCAGGGATTCCAGGTCCTGGCTGCTAAAGAGGAGGAGGAGGAGGAGGAGGAGGAGGAGGAGCAGGAGAGAAAATGAGAGGAACATTGACGTGGGAGAGAAACATTGATCAGTTGTCTCAAGTAGGCAATGACCAGACCAGGAAAAGATTTCTCCTTCCTGATTATCAAGTGACTCCACTACTAGTGTGAAGTCTTCATTCAACAATAACAAAATCAGGGGGCTTATTCTTTATACAACAAACACGGCCTTTTCACAATTGTAAGGCCCATAAATTAAAACTTCAAATTGATCCGTGCTCAGGACTCACCGTGTTGCCATTCTTGGCGCGGATGCCCAGGGAAGTGGGAATAGACCAGATGCCGAGTCAGGGAAGGGCTGTGTCCCGGGTCCTCTTTTCCTCCTGACATAAACTGCAGTTGTTGGAAACGGTCGTTTGTCCTCCTCAGAGATTTCACAACCCCCTGACCTCTGTCACAACCTGGCCCTGGGGGCTGTGGTGGTTGAATCCTGCAAGTGGGGAGATGGAGCCGATGAGCAAGAAGGAAACCTTGATTGTTAGCAGCAGCAAACATTGTGGGATGGATTGTTACTGCATCTGAACGCGGCCTGTCTGCCCGCTGGTTATGCTGGGTGGGAGGGAGCCAGGGGGCAGGAAGCCTTTGAGAAAGCGATCTCCATCCTCGAGGTGGGAGATGACGGTGGTTGGGCCCGAGCCCTTGTGTAGAGGTGGGAGAAAAGAATGGATCAGTTATGTGTCGGAGCTAAAGGGGCCGTGACTTGCGAATGGACATAAAGGAGAAGGGAGAGAATTACTTATGTTAAGTCTCCCTGTCTCATCCCTTGAATTGTTGTTGGACCACGAATTGGGCTGAAAGTTCCTCCTGCAATCTCCTATTGGAGAATAAATTCCTTTATCGTCTCTTAAGAAATGGTCCCTGTTTTCCTTTTTCAAAAAGAGCAAAGCAGAGTTCCCTCCAGAGAAGCGAGGGGCCTAGGCCTGCTTCCCCCGTAGCCAAGGCGTCCTCTGCTGGCAGGCTCGTGAACTCTAAAGAACATGACAGGTGCTGGTCAGCTGGCCTCGCAGCGGGCGACAAGGAAACTGGCTTTGGCTTGATGGTATTACCTGGCTGTCCCCACAGAGGTGAGAAAATAGACCTAAATCCCCCTGGCTTTGTGCCCCTTGCTCCTCCCCACTTCACCCCTTGCCTAACCGGTGGTTCAGAAGATGGCTATTAAAATAGCTGCTTCAAAAGTGGGTTAGCTGGGGGAAATGTTATCAGAAGGAGAATTGTGTCAGGAGATGAGAGAGAGAGAGAGAGAGAGAGAGAGAGAGAGAGAGGAGAGAGAGAGATACAAATTAGCCCTTATGCTTTCATTAAAAGGATTGTGTGCCTGGCTGGTGTGGCTCAGTGGTTGAGCGTTGACCTATGAACTAGGAGGTCACAGTTCCATTCCCTGTCCGGCATATGCCTGGGTTTTGGGCTCAGTCCCCAGTGTGTGTGTGTGTGTGTGTGTGGGGGGGGATGTGCAGGAGGTAGCCAATGGATGAGTCTCTCTCATCATTGATGTTTCTATTTCTCTCTTCCCCTCCCTTCCTCTCCCTGAAATAAAAACATATTTAAAATCAAATCAAATCATATTTCTAAAAAAGTAAAATAAAATGGTTGGGCACCTTTATAAAGGAACAGTACTGTCTCAGTGGGGCACGGCGCAAGAAATCCTGTAAATAATCCTGGGAACACGTGTTCACACCTCCATGCATTTCTAGATTTTTTTTTTCCTACATATTGAAAATCATGATACCCCCGATTCTAACCCATCACCATAGAGTTCATTCTGCTTTTCTTTCTTCTCAGGTTTGAAACTCCCTTCTCCGATGGTGAGAAATCTGGCTGCCCTTCTTCCAATATGTTTAATTTTCGATCAGTGAAGCCATCCTCCTGTTCCTGCTGTCATTTCTGTCTTGCGTGGACGCCCTTGTCATCCTGCCTTTGCTCTCCTCCCACCTTGGTGCTCCCCTCGTGTGGATAATACCTTCCTCATCCTGCTTGGACTCTGATGGCATTTATTATTGTTCCTGTTGTTATTGTCACCCTCTTGGTGGGTTAGTGGGGCAATGGAGTGGGTCCTTCTCTCACTTAGACAATCTTCTTTTATCTAGCCAAAAGGGCCCATCCTAGAGGCTCACGGGCGCGTTTTTATATTCATAAGATGCTTCTCTTCAGCCCCCTCGAAGAGGTCAAAGCAATTAAAAATCTTTAATTAGTACCCAACGTTCAGCCACTGATGGCTGGTTCTGAGTGCCGTGCCTTTATTCTCTCCCGCCGCCCCCGACAGGAATCTAAGGGAGGGAGGGTACGTAACAGCTGAAACGATCCCCCGCTCACTTTCTATAAAGAGGAAAATTAGCTGCTCTCATAATCATGCATATTAATGTATAGACAATTTCACTCAATTAAAGTGATGATGTATAATTTTGCCTCGGAGCTTTACGGAGGCCGTGTCAGTGACGACCGAGTGGAGTTGGGTGCTGTGCAGAGTTGATGCATTTGGCTTAACTCTCTCACCTCCATCTGCTGGCTCCCATGTAGGATGGGACCTTGAGTTCTTCCCTGACCGAATGTTCAGTGCTCCGAGTTTATGCTTTTTATGTTTCTAGGGCCCAGAAAACATCATTATCATGGCAGGTTTATGAATTTCTGTCCAACTCACACTGATTCTTTTTCCTGGAACACTGCCCCTCCCCCCCTCACCACCACTAATCCTCTGATGCACAGGGTCCCTGGGATGTGTACTCGGGGGTCATATTTGTTCCATGAAGTTCCTCTCTTCCTGGCCAGAGCTGATTGGCCAAAGCAGGAGACCCTAGCCCTGGACGGGCCAGTGAGAGGCGCTTCTCTGGGAATTTGGGATTGGGACTATGAAGGACTAGTGTCAGAGGGATGCCTTTGAGCAAAAGCATAACACTCAGGAGCTGCAGGCGATTTCCTAGCCCTGTAACTGGCATAGGGTACGTGCTCAATAAATGTGAATTTTTGCTTGAGCTCCACTAAGCGACGTCGTTCTCCATTGTTGAGCAGCACCAATTGTTCATTCCTTAGCACTCGGATTGGCTAGTTAATTCAGCGAACACAGGACTGTGCATATGGTGGCCAGATGATTTGCCTCTCCCAGGAAGAAGTTGCCTCGTAGATGAGAACCCTTAGAATGCCAACCTCAGGTATGAGTATCTCATACGCTCTCTAGGGCCACCAGCCGATGTCCTTAGGGTAGGATTTGGAGGTAGGACCCTGAGCAGTGCTGGGGTGGTTTAGACAAACCTTAGAGTTGGGAGAT